TAAAAAGTAAATATTAAAAAAAAAAAAAAAAAAAGAGAGGGAAGTTTGCTACTTGATATTCCAAATGAAAAAGCAAAGCTGCACTGAGTATCTGCACTTTATTGCACCAGATTGAGGTAGGGTACCTCATAGGAATGCAGTAGCCAGATCTGTCCACAAGGATCCACAAAGAAAAAACATGCTTGCCCCTTCCCCATTAGAAAGGATGTGTCAAATCTCTGTTGGCCCTCAGAGACAGAGATAATGGTAGCCCATTTCCTGGAATCTGACCACCCTTTCATACCCTAACCAATAAAAAGAACCAATCATAGCCAGCAACCTTCATCCTTGGTTTCAACCAATGGTGGATCAAAAATATTCAAAAAAAGAAAAAGCAATCGTGTCCTTACTATACATGAACAAACTTTTTCTTGTCAATACCTAAACAACAGAATATGACAATTATATGCACAGCATTTATACTGCATTAGACATTAAAAGTAATTTAAAAATGATTTAAAGTATATGGGAAGATGTGTATATACCACACAAACATACCATTGTATACGAGGGACTTAATCTTCCCAGATTTTGGTATGCATGTGGGATCTTGGAACCAGTCCCTTGTGGATACTGAAGGATGACTGTAATTGATTTGAGACCTAACAACAAGGGAATTCTCTGATCAGAGGCTAAGAATTCCTCAAACAAGCTGGTTGTGGTGATACATGCCTGTAATCCCAGCTAGTTGGGAGGCTGAGGCAGGAGTATCAAAAGTTTGACACCAACTTGGGGCACTTAGCAAGACTCTTATCTCAAAATAACAAAAAAAAAAAAAAAAAAAAAAAGAAAAAAAATGAAAAGAAAGAAATTCCTCAAAAAGAATTCTGCAAACAAATGCTGAGGAGAGCAAGCAAAATCCCATTTGTAATAAGTCAAGAAAGAGCAATAGAAATACAGGATGGGCATGACCTCATGTATTGAGTGAGATAAGCATATAATTTAAAAGTTAAAAATCCCCAAATAACCTAATTGTCCCAGTATCATGAATTGATTTTTTTTGTTACTGTTTTTAAATTTAAGAATTATAGGCATAGTGGCACATGCCTATAATCCCAGTGACTCAAAAAGTTGAGGCAGGAGGATCATAAATTCAAGGCTAGCCTCAATTTAGTGAGATCCTGTCTCAAAATAAAAATTAAAAGGACCAAGGATGTAGCTCAGTGGTAAAGGACCTCAGGTTCAATCCTTCTGCCTCAGACTCCTGAGTAGCTGGAACATAAGCACATGCCACTGTACCCAGAAAATATTTTTTAGTTAAATAAACACTTAGGCCCCTGTATACTTTGTATTATTCTATGTATATTACCAATAAACACTAGCTGGTTGAATACTTATAAACTATTTTTTGAGGCAAATCTGCTACAATCCTTAATTCAGGGTAGAGTGTAAAATCAAAAATAAATATTGAACTAGGGATCTAATAGTTAAGGAAAACCAACATAATGAAGGAGAGGCACCAAACTCAACAAACAGAGCTAACACTGGTGAAGAAAGTAACTATGAGAAAGAGGAGCCAGGCATGATGGTGCATTCCTGTAATCCCCACGGCTCAGGAGGCTAAGGCAGGAGGATTGTGAGTTCACAGCCAGCCTCAACAACTTAGAGAGGCCCTAAGCAACTTAGTGAGACCCTGTATCTAAATAAAATATTTAAAAAGGGTTGGGGATGTGGCTCAGTGGTTAAGCATGCCTATACATATTTTTAGACTAAACCAGGAGATTTAGTCTAAAAATATATATATGCAATGAACAATTCTAAGGAGGATAAAGTTATATATATTATATCCATGAAACAGGAACTGGCCATTAAAAGAACCTCTTAGGGGTGTTGAAAGTGAAATCTATGACCTTAGAAATAGCTAGGTATGGTGGTTCATGACTCTAATCCTAGCTACTCAGGAACTGAGGTAGGAGGAACGCAGGTTCAAGGTCAGCCTGTGCAACTTGTTGAGACCCTATTCAAAAAGAGCTGGTGATGTAACTCGGTGGTAGAGCACCCCGGGGTTAAATCATAGTCCTGTCAAATAAAGAAAAAATAAAAAGAAAGAAAAAAAGGAAGAAGAAAATTTTAAAAAAAGAGAAAAAGGAAGGAAGGTCTGTATTAGTGGTTGGTTGATAGACTAGATTCTGATGAAGGACAAATTCAAAAGCTGGTCCTAGAAATGTTATGACCCTTAAACTCCTTCAGGCAGAATTATCTGTAGATTATACATGGAAGGAAAGTGGTATAAAAAAATGAAAAATTGTTAAAACTTATGTTTCTGGTGCGTATGCATGAATTCTTCCAAGTGGTACTTGTATTAGTTTATCAGAAAAATAATTGAACATATAATGAAAAGCAAAATGTTACTGTCATGACCTATTCCCATGTTTGCTCCATACCTTGAAGGCAGTGATTTTCAATTTCTCAAATTACTTCTAAAAGGTGCCTCTGTATATTTTTTCTCTTTTTTGTGGTGCTGGAGATCAGACCCAGGGACTCATCTGACCTGACCACTGAGCAAAACCCCCTATCTTTTTATTTTTTTTGCAGGCTAGTGGGTGGGGTGGGGAGTGGGCTGGGATTGAACACAAGGACACTCTATCATTCTTTTTATTTCGAGACAGGGTCTCACTAAATTGGCCTTTAAATATACAATGGTGCAAAAGTGATAAGCATTCAGTAGAAATCAGATTTCAAATTTTGAATTTGGATCTTTTCCCAGGCTAGTGATATGTTGTGCAATACTCATAATGCTGGACACAGCAGTAAGCCAGTTCCCAGTCAGCCACAGGATAATGAAGGAAACAGCTGACACTCTATAGTGTCCTATGTTACTAGGCTGTAATGTTTGGGAGGTTAGGTGTTTGGAGTGTGCACCACTGCACCCAATCATCTGTGATATTTTCAACTTCCAACATGTTTATTGGGTGTTTACTGAGATGTAACCATGGTAAGCCAAGGAACATCTATAAACGAAAACATCAATGGATGTCAGTCAGCACACAGGTAGGCTCCTTCTACATTCTATTCTTTGGTACTTCCTCTAATGAGCAAGTATTATATTTATCATATAATCCATTCATAATGTTAAAAAACTGTTCTAAGCCTAAGGAGCAGCAGTAAGGCAAAAGGAGAGGATAGTGTCATAAATAGAAATAAATTGCAAACTGCTATGACATTATTTATCCCATTATGTGCTCTTGACACACACATATCTCACTGTACCCTTAAAAAAGGAACTCTAGGTTTCATTCATAGACAAGAAAAGGCCCCATGGCTGGTCTCAGCAGAACTGTGGCTTGCTAAACCCATGTGAATTTGACCCAGCCCCGTGTTCTTTCCATTGAACAACAATGCTGTTCAAAACAAACATCTCAGCTGCTTCTTTCAACACCAGCAGAACACAATGTAGAGGGGTCTGTAGGGTCAACTTTTAAAGACTTACCAATAAGCAGGGTCTTCCTTGAGAACAGATCTCTCTTTGGGAGAGAGGGTGCCTTCCACAATGCGTGTGACAAGCTGGTCAATGGTGTCCACCACCTTGTGATCTGCTCGCTGGGGAACTGCTGGAACATAGAGAATGGCTTTTCTGAAAAACACACTAGACCATGTGTGTCCTGGAAAGACCAGGACAGTGAGTCACAGGGCTTCGTCTGAAACCTAAGCAGGCACCAGAAACTGAAATCCTCATACATAAGACATCGGCTTACCAATGTACAAGAAGTCCTCCCCAAATGATACAACAGCATAACTACTAGAACTGAAATGTCACAGACTTAACTGTATCGAGCAATTTATGCATACAGTCTAGAAAAGGAAAGGATATATAGCAATTCCCTACTATTATTTATGTATCACTTAACTTGAATGCCCATAATATTAAAGTAGAGCTGTAAAGACATAAAATATTCTTAAAAGTACAGGCACAGGGGCTGGGGTTGTGGCTCAGCAGAATGCTTGCCTAGCACATGATAGATTAAAATAAGGTATTATGTCCAACTACAAGTAAAAAAAAAAAAGTGCAGGCAATGTGAACCAAGTACAAGGCCAGCCTGGGCAACTTAAGAAGATCCTGTATCAAAATAAAATTTAAAAAGTGATGGGAGAATAGCTCAGTGGTAGACTGTTTGCCTAGCAAGTATAAGACCCTGGGTTCAATCCCCAGTACTGTGAGAGTGAAGGGAAGCATATATGTGTTTTGTAAGAGGAAAAAAATAAGTTCACAAAGAAAAATTCCCTAATTAAAAAAAAAAAAAGTCAAGTAACTCAATGGTAGAGCATTTGCCTAGCTTGCACAAGGCTCTGGTTCCATCTCCAGCACCAAAACAACAACAAAACCCCCCAAAACAAGTCAATGGCCCCAAGTTACTTCACAAAAACTATTTGTAAGGCTGGGTGTGGTGGCGCATACCTGTAATCCCAGCTACTAAAGAGGCTGAGGTGGGAAGACCACAAGTTTAGGTCAGCCTTGGCAATTTAGTAAGACCCTCTCAAAATTAAAAACAAGGGGATAGGGATGTAAAGCAGCCATCCTTAGGCTAAAATCCTGTGTGTGTGTGTGTGTGAGCATGCCAAATGAAAAGTAAATCATTTTTTAAAGTGTAAGCTTCTTCCAATATGATTCTGTAAATTTACAGTGCTATCAGCAATGCAGAATAGCTCGCTTCTTCAAATAATGATTGTTTAGCTTCCTGATATTTGTAGTTTTAATAGCACAGAATGGTCTATTTGTTCTGTCATTTAATTAAAGTTACCCTTGAACTGGAGTGGTTTCCCAGTTTGTTCTGTAAATGATTGCACAATGCTGTCTTTGCGTTGGAGCTTTGAATTTGGTTGTGGCACTGGGATCAAACCCAGACCCTTCTACATGCTAGGCAAGTGTTCCATCACAGAGTGGTAACTCTCAGCCTCTTTGGGCTTATACTTATTTTTTTTTTTGAAATGGGAACTTGCTGTTTCGTAAGTGGCCCTGAACTCCAGGGCCCAAGTGAGCCTACATATTTTTTTATTTGTTCTTTTTAGATATATTGCTGGGCTTATTTTAAACATTACTGTGTGCTCCTCGCACAGGATAAATCCTTCGACTGTCATGTTATTGCAAAATACTTCCCTTATGAAACTGCATTTTCTTCTTTGTTGGCTCTCATTTTAAAACTGCTTATTTTACAAAAGAATATGAAGTACAAACCAAAAGCTTTTATAGGCAAATGAAATTTGTGGATTGCTGCAAATTTGGTCATTTCTAGCTAGGCTGACCATGAAATGGCCAGAACAGGGCCATAGCTTTGGCCCAGCAACCCTACCACTGAGAACATATACTTTGAAGGAAGGATTAAAAAGAAAAAATTAAATAATTAATAATCAACACATTCAATGAAAGATGTCATCTCAGCATTTCCAATAAGAACAGGTGCAACGATGGGCAGTGACACTACCTGATGCTATTCAGCAATTCCTGTGAAATATGGGCCCTCTCATTGGCTATCCAGATGTGCATGCAGAGAACCAAGGCTGGTGGATGCCAATTACATGTGACCCCACCACTGTTTGGCTTCAGAAACCTCTAGTAAAAGGCTCCATGAGTTTAACATCAAGCCAAAGGTGCAATAATTTTCATCAGGTCAGCATGATGTAGCAAAGGCTGCAGAGACAATCGCATAAAAGAGCAGATGGTAACATTTACCTCCAGCATGTGTGCAGCTGCAAAAATACCACAAGTGGGTGGTGAGCCACTTTTTTTTTGGGTTTTGGTGACCCTTCCTTTCTGTTATATTCTTTAGTAACTCTATTACACTGACTTTCCATTCAGCATTTTAGGGTTGAGGGAGGGTAATGCTTCAGTCCTGAACCCACTACCTCAGGTTCCCTCTCTAGGAGTAGCTGTGACTACCCACACATGGTAGGACTTATCCATTGCTTCATGCAATCAGGGCTTCATGAGGGTGGTATGGAACCGGAAAAAAATCAGGTACAAATGAAAGTCCCCACTGGGCTGAGAACAATGAAAACTGAAAACCATGTCAGGGTCAAAGTGCTTTCTCACTGGTCACAGTAGCCAAGAGAACATGGATACATGCTTATGACTTCTGAGCAGTGAGAGCATCCATTCTGGGAGTAAGAAGAGGGAAGATGGAAAGCAAATAGTCATTTCTATTCCTATTTCTTGGTCACTACATTAACTTCTGGTTATCAAGTGTAATTAAGAAAATTTAAGTACCTTTAGCAAATTTAGAAAAGGGGGCTGGGGATACAGTTCAGTTGGTTGAGTGCTTGCCTCACATGCACAAGGCCCTGGGTTCAACTGCCAGCACCACACACACACACAAATCTAGAAAAGGAAGTTGGGTGGAGGAAAGGTGCTGCCACCAACCGAAATACCCTAGCTGGTCCTTGTGCATCTTTCAACACAACTCAACCACAGCCTCCCTGATTTCCCAGGCTGGGCTGGGGCCTCTACTGTGACCCTTTCAACCTAGCACAGGAGTGACTGTATTTTGAGATCTCCTTACCTCTGGAGCCAGGGACTCCTTAGAGATGGCATCTAGCAGTTTTTTGTTTGTCTTTCCCCTTCCTTCTAGTAATACCTGGGGAAAGGTGGGCATGTTGAAAGTATAGGTAAAATTTATATAAATATACATGTCCTTTTGTCCTGGCAAGGGCCACAGCTTTCCATGAGAATGTCAGAGATCTATGATCCCAAAATTTTTAAGGGCTTATGTGGTAGAAGACTCTTAACACACATTCACAGAAGAATGGCAGACATGTGTATTGACCAGTGTGATTTTCTACTAAAATCCTGACTGGTTTTAGTTAACTAAAGAACTGCTGTGTAAAAATCTCAAAGAGAATAGGAGACATTATCAAAAATCAGGAAAATAAGCCACAACACATAGAAACTTCCACTGCTTTCCTCACCATCATTCAGACCACTTGGAGCCCTGGCCTGAATTTCTGGTTTCATAGGAGCAATCATTTTCTCCTCCTCTCGTGCTGGCTCTGCTTCAGTCTTCTTAACCTGTAAGGGACACCCACTGGTGATCAGCCATGCTTTGAGATGGTCTATATACTCTCTCCCAAACAAAGTCGAGTCCTCGAAGTTTGGAAAGGAAGCAGGAGAGGGAGCTATATCTTGGAGGCCAACAGCTTCTAAGATTTTCTCTTGCCGGAAAGAGGAAGCCAATGAGAATGTCTGTCCCAAAAGGGCTAAAGATTTCCGGCAGAGAGAATTGGTGGTCTCTAGGGCAATAGCCAAGTCCAGAGGGTTAGTTAGGGTCTTCATTTTGACACTGAGCTCATAGGCATTGCAGGCCATGAGCAAGGGTGTGACACTCTTCAGAAGTCGGTCTTGAAGCCTCATTATGTATTTGTCAAAGGGCTTTATGATTTCAAAAAAGCAATTTTTGGTCTTCACAGCACCTTTGTCTAAAAGCATGTTTAAAAACTCATTATCAACTCTGGGTGTTTTCAAAGCAGAGTGCTTTAAAAATTTGATAGTAAAAAAGCAAAAATCTCTGTGCTCTGGTTTTAAGGAGCATTTGAATGAGGCAAGCATTTTAGCACAGGTTTCAGTTTCAAGTTCAAAGAGAGTCTGGAAAAGTTGGGAAAATTTAACATCATCTTTTATAGTATGGAATCCTGCCCATTTAATTATTTCTATCCCAAATCTTGAAAACACATCAGACTTATCTATAACGTCAAAGCTCATCTTTCTTCTAGGGAACCGAATGTTCTTTAGATCAAGCCCCAAAGGGATCTTCTGAGTGGGGAACTGGATGTCTTCTGTCCTTAGGTTTGTCCCCAGGGTCACATCAGGACTTGGGGTGGCTTTCTGGATTTGGTTAGTGCCCTGAGTTTTGGAAGTAATACGATTTATAACAGGTACTTTTTTTGTGGTCACACCTCTCAGTGTGACAAGTTTCCCAACACCACCCTTTGCTGTAAGCAGGCCCTGAGTGTCCCCCTTTCCTAGAAGGGTGCCTTCCTGATCAATGATGTTTAGAGCTCGGCCTCTGGCCTGAACTTGACCAGTGCTTCTGGAAACAGAGTCAGCCTCCCCTGGATGGTCCACATCATAATCCTGACTCTCTTTTTCCAAACACTCTTTCTCGATCAGCCTGGAGGAGGCCAAGTCCCCCAACACAGCAGAAGGACCAAAACTATACTCTTGTGACCAGGAGGATTCTTGGGAAACTGGGCGGCCAAAGTCTTGCTCCCAAGAGCCACGGAGTGCAAATTTCCAGTCTTGAGAATGGAAATGGCCCAATTTCCGGTGGCCAAAGACCTGGTCCCGGGTATCAGCATGGGCAAATTCCAGATCCCGACCACATTCTTTGCGAAAGTAGTTGTCATCACCAATGGAAGGGTTGCTTGATCTGAAGGAGGGTCCTGGAAACACATCACTTCTCAGGCCTTCTCTCCCAGCATCTCGAGAGTGAGCTACAGATCCACTGAGGGAGTATCTGCTGTCACTGTGAACATCATCATACATATCTGCTCTGGATCTTGGGATTGTCCTTAAGAGATCTGAAATAATCCAAAAAAAAAAAAAAAAAAGAAACAAACAAAAAAGCACTTTAGACCAGAGACTACAAACAGAAGCCCATGGACCACCAGCCAAGAAGTGTTTATACCCGAGTATTTTTTTGCAAATTTAGATGTGTTGTCAAAGTTTAAAATGTAGCTCAGTGGTAAAGCAATTGCCTAGCATATGTGAGGCAGTGGTAGAGTGCTTACCTAGCACACGTGAAGCACTGGGTTCTATCCTCAGCACTACATAAAAATAAATAAAGGTATATAACTTAAAAAAAATATCAACTTTAAACAAATAAACAAAATGTAGCTTAGTGGTACAGCATTTGCCTAGTACGCACAAGAGCTTGGGATTAATGCCCAGTACTCCCCCCTACTCCCACACAAAAGTCTGGGTTGATAGTAGTTTGTCCTCTATATTTGCAGGTTCTGCACCTGTGGATTTAGCTAACCTCAGATTGAAAATATCCAGAAAAACTGCATTTGTACTAAATATGTACAGATTTTTCCTTGACACCTTCCCTACACAATACAGTGTAGCAACTATTTCCACAGCATTTACATTGTATTAGGTATCATAAATCATCAAGAGATGATTTAAAATTCCCAGCCCTTACTTTTTTGGGGGAAGGGAAAGAGTGGTCCTGATTGAATACAGGGGTACTTTACTACTGAGCTATATCCCTAGCCCTTTCATTTTTTGAGATAGGGACTTATTAAGTCACTGAGACTAGCCTTGAACTTGTGATCCTGTCTTGGCTTCCTGAGTTGCTGGGATTACAGATGTGTGCCACCAATCTAGCCGGTATCTGCTTCTTTTAAGGACAGGATCTTATGGGCACAGTGGTATATGTCTGTTAATCCTAGTAATTTGGAAGGCTGAGGCAAGAGGATTGAGTTTTAGGCCAGTCTTGGTGACTTAGCAAGACTATCTCAAAATAAAAAAAAGGGGCTAGGGATGTGTCTCAGTGGTAGAGTACCTGTCTAGCACATATAGGCTCTGGGTTCAATCCCCAGCCCTGCAAATAAATAAATAAATAAAAAACTGAAAGAGGTTGGTAATGTAGCTCAGTGGTCAAGTATCCTTGAGTTCAATCTCAGTGGTAGAGTACCTGTCTAGCACATATAGGCTCTGGGTTCAATCCCCAGCCCTGCAAATAAATAAATAAATAAAAAACTGAAAGAGGTTGGTAATGTAGCTCAGTGGTCAAGTATCCTTGAGTTCAATCTCAGTGGTAGAGTACCTGTCTAGCACATATAGGCTCTGGGTTCAATCCCCAGCCCTGCAAATAAATAAATAAATAAAAAACTGAAAGAGGTTGGTAATGTAGCTCAGTGGTCAAGTATCCTTGAGTTCAATCCCAATAAGGCAAAAAAAAAAGAAAAGAAAAAATAGACAGGGTCTTGCTATATTGCCTAGGCTAGCCTTGAACTCCTGGGCTCAAGTAAACCTCCTGCCTCAACCTGAGTAGCTGGGATTACAGGCACACACCACTATGCCCATCTTACCCTGGACTTTTCTTTTTTTGGGGGGTGGGGTGGGGGTGGGTACTAGGGATTGAATCCAGAGGTACTTTACCACTGACCTACATCCCCAGTCCTTTTTTTTTTTTCATTTTTTTTTTTAAAGGCAGGGTCTCACTAAGTTAGTTAGGGCCTCAGTAAATGGCTGAGGCTAGCCTCAAATTTGTGATCCTCCTGCCTCAGCCTACCAAGCTGCTAGGATTACAAACATGCACCATCACACCAGGCAAACCTGGACTTCTTTAATGCAACCAAACACTTCTGTGTTTCTATTTTTAACTCATAGCAGCCAGATTTTACAGAGGCTGCCAACTCTAGCTGCCTCCTAGGGGAAAATATAAGCCCACAGTGCCACCATGAGGTAGAAGCCTTAGCTGACACAATGCTCATCACAGTTGTCCAGGCCCAAGACAAGCACCTGATCCAAGGCTGACTGAAATCAAAGGTCTGTCTGGCTAATCCTCTCTATGGAGCTGAAAAACCAGAGACTGAGGCAAGGAGAGAGGAAGGAAGAAAAGAAGCCACATCAAGATGGAAAGTGGGGCTTGGGATGTGGCTTAAGCGGTAGCGCGCTCGCCTGGTATGCGTGAGACCCGGGTTCAATCCTCAGCACCACATACCAACAAAGATATTGTGTCCGCCGAGAACTGAAAAATAAATATTAAAAATTCTCTCTCTCTCCTCTCTCTTTAAAAAAAAAAAAAGATGGAAAGTGAACAGCATAGAAAAATGGAAACATATATTTACAGTTGCTTATTCACACATAAAAGAACTCTGAGAAGCTAGAAACAGAAATGAATTATGGACAATGGGTATATGGGATTGGTGGGCCTCAGGCACACTTTCTTTTAAAAAGTACTAGGACTGAACCCAGGGGTGCCAGTCCTTTTTATTTTTTATTTTGAGACAAGGTCTCACTAAGTTGCCCAGGCTGACCCTGAACCTGCCTCAGTGTTGTAAGCAGTTGGGATTATAGTGTGTGTCACTGCATCTGGCTTTAGGCCTTTTCATGGATTATCTTTCTGATATTTGAATTTTTCAATCAATCTACAATCTAGTTATATATATATACTATATACATATATATAGAAAAGGGGAAGAGAGAGAGAGAGGGGAGGAGGGAGGGAGTAACAGGTATGAGTACGCCAAGAGGTAATGATGGGCTGAGAAGCCACAAAAAGTCTATATCCAAGTTAACATGTTCAACAAGCACTTATTGAGCACCTATTATGTGTAGGTACTGCACTAAGCACCAAAGTTACTGTAGAGAAAGGAGGCTTCTACCACACTTACCAGTTGAGGGAGCCAGACAACAAACAAAAATATAGCAAGTAAAAGTAAATGCCAAGAATGAACTCAAGGAAGCAAGAATGCAAAGAGGAAATATCATTTTTAGACAGGCTGGTCCAAGAGGGCAGCTTTGACAGCAATGTATATAGAAGCAGAAGCCTGTATGAGGGGCTAGATAATACAGTTAAGAGGAGGAAAGCTTCCAGATAGAGGGGACAGGATAAAGCCCTGCAATGGGATTGGGGGGGGGTGGCAATGCAGGCAAAAGGGAACAGAGGAAACCAGAAGCAAAGTGATAGAAAGGTGGCTCCCAAACTGTGCTGCACATTGAAGTCTGCAGAGGCCCTTCATCCCTAAACATCCTTATTTAATTAATGAGAATACAGTCTGACCTGAGCATCAGGATTTTGAAAAGGCTCTCAAACTATTCTAAAGTGCAACAAAATTACGGACCCACTATGATAGGATACAATGGGGGGAGGGATTATCCAGAAGTCAGGCCCTAGATAGGGCTCAATTTTTATTCTGGGGTGAAACCAAAAGCCACCAAAGGGTTCTGAGCAGAGGAATAACCTCACTGGCTGCTATTCACGGAATATATTATAGCGGACAAAAAGGGACATGAATGTTCCAGAAAGGAATCTACTATAATAATCCAGGCATTGATTATGGTATTGGTGGCACAATTAGGGAAGGAGAATTAGAGGGAGAGTGGTGGCTGGATGCTACACATTTTCTATGTCCTGGTTTATAAGAAATGGGAAGAGTTCAGAGTAAAGCAGAGACATAGAACTAAGGCTGACCAGCTATGCGTGGTGTATACCTATAATCCCAGCAACCCAAGAGGCTGAGGCAGGAGGATCCAAAGTTTGAGATCAGCACTAGCAACTTAGTGAGACCCTGGAAAAGGGCTGGGACATAGCTCAGTGGTAGAGTGCCTCTGGGCTCAATCCCCAGTATTGCCCAAAAAAAAGAAAGAAAAAGAAAAAGAGAGAGAGAGAGAGAGAGAGAGAGAGAGAGAGAGAGAGAGATAGATATGTGTGCAGGCTGACCAATGAATCATGAATTTGTTCTAAAACCATCATCTTGCTGTGTTTCTAGTCCCCATCCTCCATAGTTTTTTTTTGTTTTTGTTTTTGAGGGGGTGGTGCAATACTGGAGATGGAACTTAGTTCCCTGAACATGCTAGGCAAGTATTCTGCCACTCAGCTAAAACCAGCCTTCTCCAATCTTTCTTGTGGTAACTAAGATGTATTGGTGCTTGAGTCTATAGATAAAGAACCAAGATTTAATTCTCCAGATGTAAACACAAAGTATTGAGTACTATAATATCTCACTAAAAGAACTGAAGGATGTATAAAACACCATAAATAGTTACCTCTGAGGGATAAGGAAGTAGCTGGGAGGATTTTCATCCCTCTTTTTATTAAACTGTTCCGATCTTTTATAACTGCAATGGTTTTGTGTACATCTCACATAACTGTGTTTTGGCAGTACTGGGATGAAACCAAGATCATACACATATTAAGAACACACTCTAGGGGCTGGGGTTATAGCTCAGAGGTAGAGAGCTTGCCTCATACTTGTGAGGTACTGGGTTTGATCCTCAGCACCAAATAAAAAATAAATAACATAAATAAAGATATTGTGTCCATCTTAAAAAAAAAAAAGAACACACTCTACCATTGAGCCACATCCTCAAGTGTCCCTGTAAATTTTTATTTTAAATTTTTTTTTTTAGTTGTAGACGGACACAGTGCCTTTATTTATTTGTTTTTACATGGTGCTGAAGATTAAAGCCAATGTCTCACATGTGCTAAGCAAGTGCTCTACCACTGAGCTGGTACTCCAGCAAACATCCCTGTAAATTCTGAAATCTCAGAACCTAGAGATAACCTCTGAGCTTCAATTCTCCAGTCCAAAGCACATTTGTTATTCCTATCCCAAAGACAGACTCAAACAATAGGAGGGGCCTTTTCTTCACCCTAAGGATGATATAACTGTGAGCAGCGCAGGGGAAATAGGCCCAGGGCATGTACTTCCTGGAGTAGGGATGGTAACAAAATCAACCTCAAGGCCTGCTTAGGCTTCCTAGGGGAAGGCACCTGTGAGCCGAGTCTTGAGAGAATTAACCAGGCAGATCTGAGATAAAGGAGTTCAAAGGAAATGTTTTCAAGCAGAACCAACACCTGGCAGCTAGAGACCCTCTCTGCAGATGTTAAGTAGCTATTCCTACACTTGAAGAAGATATAACACTGCAATTGGGGAGCCCCAAGAGCCTAAGCAGGACAGTGGCCTAAGGAGGTTGGCACTAATAGATCTGAGGGGCAACTATTTTAAGGGCTGATATGAAGGAAATGAAGTCAGAAGCAGACAGACCCTGCAGGACATTGCAATAATGTAAGCAAGAACTGATAAGAGCTTAAACCTGAGCAGGAATGGCAGGGGATGCTACTAGATTGATTCAAGAATCCTTGCTGGGCGTGGCAATACAAGCCTGTAATATCAGCAGCTCCAGAGGAAGAGGCCCTAAGCAACTTAGTAAGGCCCAGTCTCAAAATGAAAAATAAAAAGGGCTAGGAATGTGGCTCAGTGGTTATGCACCCCAGTACCCCACCTCCCCAAATCCTTCTTTAGGGGTTGGAGACATAGATCAATGAAAGCATTTGCTTAGCATGAGTAAGGCCCTGGATACCATTCACAGCACCAAAATTACGTTCTTCGAAAGATAGTATCTAATAAGAAGCTCAGTTAATGACAACACCACCTTCTGCATAATGATTTGGCTGCCCAGTGGGCAATGTGAAAATATTATTTTCTCTTAAATAAGGAGAGCAAGGATCAGAGCAATTCTGAACTTGTCTAAGACACTGAAATCCTGCCCCAGACTCTAGATACTACACTCTCTCTCAAAAAAAAAAAAAAAAAAAAAATTTACCTTGAGCTTTAAACTGAAGAGTTTCTCCTACAGTCTCAGCAGTGGGGTCCACATGATATCGTTTAGCTTTTTCTTGTAATACAGCATCAAAAGTCTCTTGTGCAATTCTCCTTGCTGCCATATTTCCTTGCCCTATAGTGAAAGAAAAAGACATATTAAGAATAACAACTCTCTCACAGAGCCTGCTCTATTTTACCCAATCCTTAGTCACCAGGCAGTGTTGGGCACAATGGTCCATGCCTGTAATCCCAGTGACTTGAGGTTGAGATAGGAGGATCACAAGTTCAAGGCCAAACTCAGCAATTTAAGGGATACTCAGTTTCAAAACAAAAAATCAAAAGGAAAAAAAAATCACGTAGTAATCCATAATCCTGCAATGGTAGTTCAAAAGGCAGGTTAGAGTCTTTTAAGGGGATCTCTCTCCAGGTGAGGCTCACATGTGTGTCAGGAAAAGGAGCAAGAAGAGCCTTGTCTGAGCCCGTTTCCTTGCAATGGGTTACAAGAGGCACACAGAGCAATCCTATTTCTTGGGGTTGCTAGAGGATAGCACAACTCAACAAACAAAAGAATATAAGGTGGTCAGAAGAACAGGAACACAACCCTCACAAATATAGGAAAGATGTGACCACTGTTTTCCCATTTCACCAAGAGGCATCCAGAGCTTACTCTGAGAGAAGCCTCTGGAGAAGTGCGTGGAAGAATCTCTACCAAATGACAATGAGCTAATGACAGAGGTTGCTGTGTACTAGGTACCAGCACGATCTCTTTTGCTTCTTGCAATAGCCGGTGGGTCCTTTTATGAATGATATTACATAGAAGAGGAAAAGGCAGACCTAGGCTAAGTGACCCACCCAAGGTCAGACAGCCCAGACTTGAACCTGCTGTTAAGAGCATTAGTGGAAACAAAGCCCTTTAGAAGGAGTAGGAAAAAAATTTAGCAACATTTAGGAGTACAACGTCCTTAATCATCAAGATGTCCTGGCCTAAAGACACCTCCAACTTCAAGACGCACACCTGCCTTACAGTTGTTTTTTCACAACCATCACCCCATGTTCCCATCCTTTGACTCCCTTCCCGGTGTCCCTTGTTCTCTGAATAGCGAAGGGCCGGGTCTCCGGGTCAGGTGGCCTGGGTTTAAAACAAGTGTCCTAACCTTTCTACGCCTTGGTTTCCCATCAATGGAATGAGCAGCTAATATTGGGGTTGCTATGGGGACTGAACCAGTTTTAAAAGAGGTAAAGGGCCGAACGCAGCACCGGTGGCCGTTATCGCCCCGCGAGCCGGTGCTGCTCCGGGCTCGGGTGGAATGAATGAACAAGTGACCCTGTAAACCCTTCCAGCACGGCCCGCCTCCGCCCAGCCTCCGAGGACGACGAAAAGGGGGAGACGGTTCCGGAGGCCACCGACCGCCCCTCAGGACCGGGCCGCGGACGAAGCCCGAGGGCCAAGCCCTCGGCGCCATCATGTAGTCCGGGGCCACCCGGATCAAGTCCGAGCCCCCCCACCCCGGGGCCCACCCACCGACGACGCCGGGGCCCGGGCCTCACCCCGAGCCCACTGCGCGCGGAGCCGCCCCCGCCGCCGCCTCAGGCTCCTCACCCGCCGCCGCGCGAGGCGGGGACATGCAAATGAGCCAACGGTCTCTGCAGCGCCGCGCCGCGCAGGCGCAGGGTGCTGTCGAGTCCTTGAGCGCAGGCGCAGGCCGCCGCTGGCGAGCCTTTCTGCGCAGGCGCGCTGCTCGCTTTTTTGAAGAGCCTGGTGGGGGTGGCGACTACGTTGAGCGTTCCGGACAAGTCGACAGACACTGTGCGGACACGCACCAGGTGGTCCTTTTTACTTTACCTGCAATCGTGGCCATCCTTAGTTACTCCGGGAGCTATCTGCCAAGCTAAAGACGGCCTAGGTGAGGCGGCGCCACTGCGCCTGCGCTCGTACGGCGGCCGGAACAGGCCAGAGTTGGTGCCTTCAGTGACAGCTGCGAGCCCCACCCTTGCCCCACGTGGCTTCGAAGACCGGGTGAGCAGCGGCAAAGAACCCTGTTGCGCGCGGACTAGGCAGTGGATGCTGTGGGGTCGGGCTGGTGACTGCTGCAAAGCCCTCAGAATTTGATTTTGGGGAAGGAAGGAATCTTACTGAAGCCGCTAGGGGACCGAATCTGCCTTCCTGGCGTCTGCTTTCTTTGCATTTTTTTTTTTTTAATTCATTCAACACCTACGTACTGAGTGCCAGCAACGTGTCGGGCTCCGTCTTAGGCAGTAGGGGCAAGGAGACTAGAAGGTATAAGCAAATAAATAAATGAACCTTGTCGCTCTAGATATAAGTAATGCTATGCAAATAATAAAAGAGAATAATGGGATAGGAGAGGGGGGCTGTTTTAACCGGAGTGGGTTTGAAGTGTGTCCCTAGGTAGCTGGAAGGATGAAAATCAGGCAGGGAAAGCAGTTTGGAAAAGTATGCATAAAGAAGGTGCTCGTAAGGAGACTGGGGTTTTTTTCTAAGTGGCATGGGAAGCCATTGCAGGGTTTTGAGCAAATGAATGAGGTAATATTTGTGTGCTTTGAAGGTCCTCTCTGGATTCTGTGTGGAGAGTAGAGGGAGAGGGTGTGGCAGGAAGGAGATAGACCACTCATGAGGGTTCCATCCCCATCGCTTGCGTGCACATGTATTTTATCAATGTTAGATTTCTCATGTTAAATTCATATATGCTGTAATTGCATAAGAGGTCTTTACTGGGGAGGTCATACTGGTCTTTAGAAGGAAAGAGGTCCTGATGTTTGGAACATATTTAGATAGTAGCTGTGTGCACATGCACACACACACTCACAGGTTAACAATTGATGAAGCTAGGTGAAGGATATAAGGTATTCCTTGCAACTTTACTGTAGGTTTAAAAAGAGATCTATTTTAAATGGAAACCATTTGGATACCAGTTTGAGAATGGAAACAGTATTATTATAATAAACAAGGCAGGTAAATTAAAACAATTAAAATGAAGAAAGTTATTAAACTCTGTTAAGGTTCTGGAACTGAGACCTGTCCTCCCTTAATTACTTAATTACAAAGGGATTATGGCAGGAGTTAATGACCCAGGTGTGCCTGCCACCAAGCATTGCAAAGGGAATTGCTAGTGTGGGCCTCAGGCACTCTAGGAAAATTCTGTACTACTAAGCTATCTCTCTGCCCCTCCCTATTTTTATTAAAATGAATTGACATTACATACAGTTCCTCAGCCACACTACTAACTGCTCCATAGCACCACCCACTCCCAAACCTGGGGTTTGTGGCTACCTTACTGGACCACACAAATATAGAATATTCCATCATTACACAAAGTTCCACTGGACAGATAGTTAGATTGAAGTTTGGGACCAATGATTTCACAGGTGAATTTTGCTCTTTTCCAGGAAACAGATGTTGTTTTTTCTTTTGAGGAAGTGAGATCAAGTCATAGACTCACTTCCTGTCCAGCCCCTGTCAGGGTCCATCCTCACTGGTTTTGTACCTGATGGTTTTGCCAGCCTGTAGGGAGCATTCTCTGGATTTGTCCTGGCTTGGCTGATCAGCTGGGATCGGAAACAGAACTTTTCCTCATCCTTCCTTTTTAACCTGGGACCCCCTTGTATAAGACAGGCAGGATAAACACTGGATCCTTTTATTTGTTTATTTTTGTGGGGATCTGACCCTGGGCCTTGTGCATGCCCGTACTATACCATTGAGCAACACTACCAACCCTGGATTTTTTTTTTTTTTAAGAGCTTGCTTGTCTCATCTTTAGCTAATAGATGCCTCTTAAGATTTGCTTCCTTCCTTGCTTTCTGATCTTACCAGATGCCCTAGCTCCTAAGATCTATGTCCTGCCAAATCATGGAATTAGCCATTCTTCCAGGGGCCCCGGATTCTATTCTATGCGAAATGGTATTTAGAGACCATAGATGGTGTTAAGGATGCTCAATGATACTATGATATCATTTCCTTTAGGCATTTTCTGTTCTTATCATTAGAACATTAGAGGTTTGTTTGCTTAAAAGAAAATATATCAAGAGTTCATATTGAAAATTTCAGTTCAAATTTAGGAGCTCTGAGCCAAGCACAGTAGTGCACACCTGTCATCCCAGGTACTCAAGAAGCTAAAGGCAGGAGTATTGCAAGTTCCAGGCCAACCTGAGCAACAGAACCAAACTCTGTTTCAAAATAAAATTTAGAAGAGTGCTGGATATATAGCTCAGTGGTAGAGGGCTTGCCTCACATGTGCCATTCCTGGGTTTAATACCCAGTACCACATACAAAACAAGGGGAAGAGATCTGAGATCCTCCCCCAACTTTATAGAGGTTCAGTATAGAGATATACATTGTGTTATATATATAAGTATATTGTGTATATTTGTTGTACATCGTCAGAATTACATATGTATACATTGTGAAATATTCATCACAGTCATGCTAATTAACATAAAGATCTTTTGTGGGGCTGGGGTTGTGGCTCAGTGGTAGAGTGCTTGCCTAGCATGTGTGAGGCACTGGGTTCAAGCCTCAGCACCACATACAAAATAAATAAAAAATAAAGGTATTGTGTCCATCTACAATAGAAAAAAATTTTTTTAAATAAAAAGAAGTTTTAAAAAAAAGATCTTTAGTGTATGATGGGGTCAGAACTCTTAAGATCTGCCCTGTGTGAAGCACTGGGTTCCCTCTGTAGTACTGCCAGAGGAAAAACAAAAGCAAACAACAACATAAAACCCTTGACTCCTAGCAAATTTCAAGTAGGCAATATACAGTATTGTTAATTAGATGGCGTTATGAGGTTTTACTTATTTCATCCTATGATCTTAGAATCTTTTTTCCTTTGTTTGCAGTACTGGGAATGGAACCCAGAGTCTAGTATGCTAGGCAAGAACTCTACCACCAAGCTTCAACCACAGTTCTTTTTATTTTATTTTGAAACAGGGTCTCACTAAGTTGCCCCGGCTGGCCTAGATCCTCCTGCTTTAGCAGGATCCTGAGAGTTGGGGTGCCAGGTATGCCCGTACCATATCTGGCTCATTGAGGTTTTTTTGTTTTTTTGCAGTGCTGGGCCTGCAATACTATTGCATATTATTGGCAAGAACTCTACCACTAAGCCTCATCCTCAGCCCAGATTAGTTGGCACAATTTCATTCTTGGTTTTTAGGGATTGCTTTTATTTTTATTTTGGTTTATTTCATTTTCTAGTCATATAAAGGATTTATATGGCTTCCAAATTCATCCCATTCCAGAAGATACACTCAGAGTGAATAATCCAGCTTCTGTTCCTTTCCCTTTCCTACCAGGTAACTATTTTTATTAGTTTCTTCTTTAGCTCTCCTTTTTATTAGTTATTATTATTAATTGTTATTTTAAAATTTTATATAACAGGTTGAGCATCCCTAATCTGCATTCTGAAATTCTCCAAATTTTTAAACTTTCAGCTCTCTCATGGCCACATTGGAAAATTCCATACCTGATCTCATATAATGGGTTGCAGTCAAAACGGACACACTAAAAATATTGTATAAAATTACCTGCAGGCTGTGACTATGTGTAAGGTATATATGATGTATAAAGAATTTTCTGTTTGGATTTGGGTCTCATCCCCAAGATAGCTCATAATTTATATGCAAATATTCTAAAATCCCCCAAATTATGTACTACTTAGGTCCCAAGTATTTCAGATAAGGGATAGTCAACCTGTAATATAATGGTACACTGTAATGGTATCTTATTGCATAATTATATATAAGATTATGTGTGTAAGTATAATAAAGTATGATTATTACGTATTTAGTATTAGAACGACATTTTATACATATATGTGTGTATGTGTCTGTATGTGTGTATGTATATGTTCATATATATATTTATTTTTTGAATGGCATTAAGGCTTTAACTCAGGGGCTCTCTACTTCTGAGCTATATCCACAGCCTTTTTAAAAATTTTATTATAAGATAGGGCTTCACTAGTTTCTGAGGCTGGCCTTGAAGTTGCAATCCTCCTGCCTCAGCCTCCTTAGTAGCTGGGATGACACATGTGGGCCACTATGCCCTGCTCTCTTTTGCGTTTTTCAAAGCTCTTTGGAAATTGCGATGTTCCCTTTACCCATGATCTAGTGATAAGAATTTTTCTAGGGTTGATCCCGAGGCTAGGTGCTCCCCCAAAGTGGTGTTTTGCCTGCTCTCTCTTGACAAGCTTTCCTCTTGACTTTGCTCAGCAGACAGAGATGACCTCCAAGCGCATCACCCAGGAGACCTTTGATGCAGCTGTGCAGGAGAACATCGAGGAGTTTGAG